AGGAATAAACAGGTTTGGCAACCCTAGTGGAGGTGCAAAAGTATGCTAGCACTCTTGAGGTGTGAAAACGACACCAAATGTAGACAGCTTTTTTGAAGACGGAGTCAAAAGGCTGGGACACCGGTGGGAAAAGCAAATGCAGATTCAGCCTCAGTGTCAATGTCTTTCTGCTATCACACTTCACGTTTTGCTTATACCCAGTGAACTGCTGGAATTGTGGCTCGTTCATGTCTATCCACTTGCTTCAGAGGACAATACACAGAGAGATCAATGGATTCCAAACTGTCCAAACTGGGTGAGAAAGAAAGGGGACTGCTAAGGAACTGCTAAGTTTACAAGATAAAAATCGGAAGAACAGAAACCCAGCACAAGATACGGGCTCCACACACAAACGGAAAACCTGGAAGCCTGCGTCAGCACTACGCTAGCGTAAATGTGAGAAGTTTTACCCTAAGTCACTATGGCCGCAGGCTAACGTGGCAGAGGAAAGGGAGCTAGAGAGCTTCAAACACACAGAGAAACACAAGGAAAGCAAGGAAACTGTCAGAAGAAATACGACTAAGGGTAGAAAACCCAGCCAACTGCCTGCTCTCAGGAGACGGCTCCGCAAGCAGCTCTCCGGGGTGGGGGGGGGGAAGAAGAAGAAATCGCAAGAGGCCAGCAGCCGGCGCTTGTTTCCGTGACACAAAAGAGAAAGTGAGGTTAAAAAAAATTCCCCTTGACCGCTGCTCAAGGAGAATGCAACGGAGGAGCCCTGATGTGGCAGATTTCTCTGCGGCTTCGTCCCTTCTGGCAGGGAAGCCGGGAAAGGGAACCACCCCTCGATCGCGGCAGCAGCAGCAGCAGCAGCGTGGCTTATTGCATCAGGCACTGCTGCAGGAGGAAAACATTAACCCGCCCAGCCGGACTGATCGCTCTGCCTCCCTCTCCGTCAAGGAGATCGCCCCAGAGGTGGAATTAAAAGCCTTGTTTCATGAAGGAGGACCAAAGCAAAAGAATCCCAAATTTGCCACCAAAGCAAGGCGATCCCAGAGGGGGTTTCCCAGGCTGTGGCCTCTCCCCTGGTCGCTTTGCGTCAGGCGGTGCAATCCACGCTGGATGCCGAATCCCACCTTTCTGCATTTCACCCCCCCTGAACCGGAATACTCCGATGAAAGATGAATACATGAAAGATATTTCATGACTTTTTGCCGTCAAGTCACAGCTGACTTGTGGCGATCCCAGAGGGTTTTCAAGGCAAGAGACAAACAGAGGCCATCGTCTGCCTCTGCGCTGTGACCCTGGAGTTCCTTGGGGGGGGCTCCCATCCAAGTATTAACCAGGGCCGACCCTGCTTAGCTCCTGAGATCAGGATCGCCGGAACGACCCAGGCCAGGCTGCGCTTCACACAGGCACGTCTAAAGCGACTACATTTTTCCTGTTTGCTTTTTAAGGCAAAGGTAACCCCCTGATCTTATTGCAAGCTCCTACAATTTTATTAAGAGCTCCGTACAACGAAACGACGCAAGATGCCGTGCGATGATTCACCGTCGGATCGCAAAAGGCTTTGACGCTACCCATCCTGTTAGGTAGGACCTGCATGCTCGTTGTGTGCCTAGCCAAACAAGAATGCCACGTGAACACTGAGACGCACGGGGGATTTTAGAATGACCTGTCATGATATCCAGTGAATCGATCGATCCCTGTACGCAAGGTGTTTGCTCAGCTATCAAGCGGATCGCCGTACGTTTGAGAAGCTTGCAGCCTTTGGAAGCTGGAGGTTAAAAGCACGGGGAGATATGCAGTCTAAATATATCTCACAGAGACCCAAAATCTATAGCAAGAGGAATAGCCACTACAGATCCAGGTCAATGAATGGGAAAGCACAACGGCCCGACTCTCTGCTGGGAAATCTCTTATCAGTGCCTCTTTAGGGCCCATTATGAAAGAGGAACTAAAGTTCCATAAAAGAATAACACATCTCAAGTAAAGCTACTCCAGAGGAGGCCGAGACTGCAGTCCTGTGGATGTACTTCTGTGTTACCATGTGCAGTACTGGGTACTAAAAATGCACGCACTGTGAAATATGATGATCAATAGGCACTCTATTTCATTACGGGAGGGAGTAATCAGAAGATAAAGAAGAGGAGAAGGCGGTTGGATTTATACCCCGCCCTTCACTACCCAAGGGAGTCTCAGAGCGGCTTACAGACTCCTTTCCCTTCCCCTCCCCACAAGGTAGGTGGGGCTGAGAGAGCTCTGACAGAAACTGCTCTTTTTCAAGGACAGCTGTGCCAGAACTATGGCTTGCCCAAGGTCACCCAGCAGGTACAAGCGGAGGAGTGGGGAATCGAACCCGGTTCTCCCAGATTAGAGTCCGCACACTTAACCACTACACCAAACTGGCTCTCTGCCACGAAGTGGGTAAGAGACCCAGCTAAAAAAAGAGGGAAGAACATCCACTGTATTTGGGGAGAGATCACATGGTATGACCACTAGAGAGAAAACTGTATTCGACCCAGCTTATTGGGAGACAGAAGAGCTTCACAAAGCCATATGAAGTTAGTTCAACAGAGATCGGGGAGGCTTCACCGGTTGGAAGTCCCAGCCCCCTGAACGGCGAGGTTGGCCTGTACTAGATCTAGGGCGTTTTCGGTGGAGGCTCCTTCCTGGTGGAATGAGCTCCCGGAGGAGATCCAGGCCCTGCGGGACCTAGTGCAGTTCCGCAGGGCCTGCAAGACGGAGCTCTTCCACCAGGCCTTCGGGTAGGAGCTGCCGCCACCACCATCGCTATACCATCTTGATGTGCCGTCCTCCTACCAGATTCCATGGAGCGCTGTGACGCTTTCACCATTAAGTTGTGGGCCGCAAATATGAGCCGCCGAGCATCTTATATAATGTGTAGATCTGTATAGATTCGAAGCACCAGTTTTATTGTATATACAATTGTTTTATTGTTTTACTATTTTAAACATTGTTGTTAGCCGCCCTGAGCCACTGGGTAGGGCGGCATAGAAATCGCAAAAATAAATAAATAAATAAAATAAAAGTGGGGCTCCCAAAATGACAGCACGGACGTTCGCAGCAGATTTTCATAACAGACAACAAAGGCTGATACAAGAGAGTGTGGCAGAACAAAACCACCTACTACAGGAGTTCTCCTACGGAAATGAAAAGGGTAATCAGTTAGGGAACTGATTCTAGTCTTGCACGGGCTTTTAGTCTTTTGCGAAGTACAGAAGGCCAACAGGAAGTCAGATTAAGAAGCATATATCACAACAGAAATCTGGCGTTCAGATAAAGGGGCATATAAACCAATCATGAATTAAATGTGAGGACCTTCGTCTTGCAAACAACCCAGAAGTCCTTCAGAACTCCACACGAATGTCCACAAAGCTATCGGTTTTGGATCTCTGAGTTAGGGTCACCTCTGGAACTTCTACTCCCTGACATTCTAAAATTAGATTCCTGCCTCTATCCTTTAATCTTTTAAAAGGCCGCAACAATGAGAACTTCCCCACTGTGGCCGAACTGCAAAAAAGGAAAGGACAGCCTTTAGACCCACAAGAGGGCCGCAAATCAAATCGAGGTGAGACGGGGTCAGGTAGCCACGAGAGGAAAAGGGGTCCCCCCCTAACAAGATCCAGAATGCTTAAAGCAAAGGTCGCACAAAGAGACCATCTCTTCAAAAATGGGGCATCTCTCTGCATCTTTTTAAGGGCCAATTTTGACAATCAAAGGCTAAACTTATTGCAAAATCCGCCCTCCCCAGCGCTAGGGTTGCCCGGTCTCCCCTGGTCACTGGCAGGCGATGGGGGGAGTAAGGTTCTTAGAATCACAGAATCATAGAGTAGGAAGGGACCTCCAGAGTCATCTAGTCCAACCCCCTGCACAGCACAGGAAGTTCACACACACAAAGAGCCAGTGACGACCCCTGCTCCATGCCCAGAAAATGGCAAAAAAACCCACAACCCTTCGGAATCCCTGGCCAAACTGGCCTGGAGAAAAATTGCTTCCTCACAGCTCCTAGTTGGGAAACCCCTGTAGATCTGGGTATGGAGTTTGGGGAGCACAGAGGTGTACGATGCCTCCAAAGCAGCCATTTCCTCCAGGGAATCTAATCTCCGCACTCTAAAGATGCGCTGTAAATCCGGGGGATCCCCCGGTCCCACCTGGAGACTGGCATCCCTCCCACCTGGCATCCCAACAAAGGCAAGGGTTGCCTCCAGAACCACGAAGGACTCTCCAGAGGCATCCCTATTTATTATATTGTTTATTTATTTATTGCATTTTTACCCCGTCCTCCCCACGAACGGGCTCAGGGCAGCTTACACGGGGGGGGGGAGGGCACAAGCCCATACATGACAACAGTATAAAACAGTAAAAACTATTAAATCACAACACAATCCCTGCACCCTACAGGATTTCTGCCCGTTTGGTGCCGTGGTTAGGAGCACGGACTCTAATCTGGGAGAACCGGGTCCGATTCCCCACCTCCTCCTCCACGTGCAGCTGCTGGTGTGACCTTGGGTCAGTCACAAGTTCTCTCAGAGCTGTACTCTCAAGGGCGGTCCTACAGAGAGAGCTCCCTCGGCCCCACAGGGTGCCTGTTGTGGGGAGGGGAAGGAGACAGTAAGCCGCTCTGAAACTCCTTCGGGCAGTGAAGGGCGGGGAAATAAATCCAATCTCCTCTTCTTCTTCCCCCCCTACACCGGTGCTCAAACTGGGAGAGGGGCTAGGAAGAAGAGTCCAAAAACACTTGGCAGTCAGGACCAGTGTTCCCTCTAAGCTGAGTCAGCGTGAGCTGGCTCACAGATTTTTAGCCTCCGGCTCACACATCTTTGTCTTCGCTCAGGAAGGATGTGGCGCCAGAGCAAACTAATCTATGCAGCAGCCAAATCACTCGCTCACCACTTTAATGCCAGTAGCTCACAAAGTAGAATTTTTGCTCACAAGACTCCACAGCTTAGAGGGAACATTGGGTGTGAAAAGGTGATTTGGCTACTGCATCAATCAGTTTGCTCTGGCGCCACATCCTGAGCGAAGGCAAAGATGGGTGTAAAAGGTAAAGGTTCCCTTGCTCGAAAGCCAGTCGAATCCGACTCTAGGGTTGCGGTGCTCATCTCCGTTTCCAAGCCGAAGAGCCAGCGCTGTCCGAAGACGTTTCCGTGGTCATGTGGCCGGCATGACTAAACACCAAGGCGCATGGAACGCTGTTCCCTTCCCACCGAAGTGGTACCTATTTATCTACTTGCAATTTCTTGCTTTCGAACTGCTAGGTTGGCAGGAGCTGGAACTAGAGACGGGAGCTCACTCCGTCATGCGGCACCCTTGGGTCTCGAACTGCTGAACTACCGACCTCCCGCAGCCTGCAGTTCAGTGTCTTAACCACTTGACCACCGCAGCTCCTGGTCCCTATTTCTCCACTTGCAATTCCTTGCTTTCGAACTGCTAGGTTGGCAGGAGCTGGAACCAGAGACAGGAGCTCACTCCGACATGCGGCACACTCGGGTCTCGAACTGCTGAACGACCGGCCTCCCACAGCCTGCAGTTCAGCGTCTTCACCCCTTGAGCCGGAGGCTAAAAAACTGTGAGCCGGCTCACGCTGACTCAGCTTAGGGGGAACACTAGCTCAGGACGTCGGGCCGGGTCCTGGGTTCGAGTCCCCCCGCGGGGCCAAGCCGCTCGCCGGGCGACCTGGGGCGGATCCAGCGCGGAGCCTCACTCCGTAGCGACCGAGTCCCTCAGCGCCCCCCACCAACACCCACGGAAGCTCCCCTCCCGGCCTCACCTGCTGCCGCACCGCCTGCCGGAGCGGGGCCAGGAGCGCCTCGGCGGCGGCGGCGGGCCCGTCCATGCTGGCGGCGATGCCGGGCGAGGGCGAGGCGGCGAGGGGGCGTCG